AGGGGCGGGGGCTGGCTAGTCACGTGAGCCAGCCTTCCTACCTCAGTCTTGATAGACGTTTCACCCACCACTCCCGCCCAGTGACAGTATAGTCGGTTGCCCGTTGGAGCCGGGTAGGAATTTTTTGCCTCTCATGTTCTGGGGGGTTTTTTCGCCTACCCTATACTGTTATTAGGGGCTAGATGGGGTGGTCTGGTTTAATTAGGCCAGCATAAATAGATCAGGAAAACACAGACATGGAGGTATACGCAAGGCACCCCTTAAGGGTGGGGGTCACTATACAACAAACACTCACCTAGAAGTCAACAAATGGGTGAGGGGACATCAATTGGCACAGTAAGGAGAGAAGCTGATATCAATAATCGGACACAGGCTTCTCCAGACTTTTACCTTCAGGTTGCCCGGTTGGGGATCCAGGGCACACAAATTTTACACACTAAGTAGCCGAGGACGTTGCCTCGGTTAGCCACCAAGTTCCTTGACACTTAGTTTAGTTCAGGAAAAGTTAAATAGGTAACATTCAATAAAAGTTGCCCAATTTGAATCCATACCTTTGTTGTCTGTCTCGTTATTTCAGGGGTTAAGGGGCAAACACAAATTATTGAGGACTAAAGTATCTGTTGCTGTTATACCTCATTGTATTCCATGGGATACTAAAAAAACTTTTCCTTGAAAGCAGAAAGAAAGGCTGGGGGACCCAATGTGAAAAAAAACTTTTAAATTTTAATATAAAATTAAATACTTAGCTTCCTTATATTTTAATCTCACTGTTTTTATGCATGCCTGTGATCTTCTTGATCCTTGAGCTATGTTACGTTTTTCATCCCAGCCAACTGACTAACCTCACCCTCTATGATACTGCTTTCACCACATTAATGTTCTAAAATAGCGGTTCTCAACCTCTGGGTCCCCAGATGTTTTGGACTACAACCCTCAGAAATCCCAACCAGGTTACCAGGATTTCTGGGAGTTGAAGGGCAAAACATCTGGGGACCCACAGGTTGAGAACCACTGCTTTAAAACCTGTTGCTCTGTCCTTTTTTTCTTCTTAAAAAAAGAGTACACCCCAATTCATTGATTTTCGGCCCTGTCATCCTTTTTACATACAGCAAAGGGACTGTGAACTGAAGTTCTGCAGCTTCAATCTTTCCCTTTATATATTTGCACAATGAGCCTCAGCAAAGGAATTCCAACAATTTGTAATTGAGGAGACAAAATTTGATGCATCACCTGTATGTTTGTTATTCTTTCCTATGCAAAGACTACAGTCTGGTATTAAATTTATTCTGATAAATGAAACAGTGACTATAACATAAATATGGTAAACAATGTTGAGTGAACATTTGAAGTAATTTATCAAGTAAAATATCAAATGTCCATGATTTACATTATTAGCATATACCATATTAGTATGGTATTCCTTTCTGAATGAAATATTGCAAAACTGATTCAAAGTGACTCAACTCTTATTTCTATGTCTGAAGTGGAATCATGTGATAAATATGACTACAAATGAGGCAATACATATAACTGTAATATTGAGCCAATACGTATAACTGTAATATTGGCTGATATTGAAGACAATGGGGTATAAATATATATTTCATTATTGAATTTGTAAATTGAGTATTTTCCAATGCATCACTTACACTACTAATACAATCATTAAAACTAACTCCTGCACTTTTCTCCACTAAAATCAATAACTATAAAATAAAACTCCAAAATTAAAATTGATTTTCTACCTTCCATCTTAAAAACATACAATCTAAATACTATTATCATCCCACTAACCTCTTATTTTAAATGAATTCTCTGTTCAACTTTACCATCTCAATATTTTATTTAATCTTCAAAAACAATGAGCATTTTCACATTTTCTTTTTTTTAAAAGAATGATATAAAATTGAGGGATTAATTTGAGGAGTTATCATTGTGATACTCATCAGCATATGAAATGATTTATGTAAAAGAACGTGGACTGGGAGCTATAAATAAATGCTTTTTACAACAAAAGTCATTGGAACTTTCTCCCTCATAATTTCATTTTCAAATTGTACACAGACTCTCTTATAACCCAAAGAAAAAAGCATTTCAAAGTACTTAGTACTTGTAGGGATTAACTCCTTGAGAGGGTAGAGTCTTGAATGGGCAACAGGAAGTGATTTTGGGAGCACCATTACTGTAAATCTCACCAGTTGCATTAGGTGTGTGTCAAAGTAGAGGAAGGTAACGTTTGCTGATGAACTGCATGTGCTGTTGAAGTATGTATAATAGGGAAAGTGTAGGATGGTTTATGGCAACAGTACGTACTCCCTATGTTGTCAAGAATCTGAAGATAAGCGAAGGTGGTCGCCAATGGTGGTCTATGATGCCCTTTATGGTAGCATCCTGTAGAAAGGGGGATCAGCTTCAATATGATCCCAACCACACACACAAAATAGGTACCAATCTTAATCTCATTACTTGCATAGTTTGTATGCCTACAGTCCAATAAGGGTCTTGGACTATAATAAAATGTTGTTGTTGTTGTACTTCCATTACTTTACAACAAAGGTACCAATGCATCTCATAATACGACACGAGTCCCATGTGGTGGAGAACACAAGACTGATTATATTAAGGATCTTTCTTTATAAATCCTTTTGATGACTCCTCATTGAATATCTCAAGTAAACTGACATGGAAAATTGTTCTCTTGACACCAAAATGGGCATGCAGGGCTCAAGACTGCTGCCTAATTGGAGATGCTCATGAACAAGGATTAGTGTGATGTGTTAACAGAGAAGAGAGATGAGGGATCCACATTCTCACCTTCTGAATCGGTTTGTAAACCAAACATCATCAGATTCTATTCCACAAAGGAAGTTTGAAGGGACAAAGCCTCTTCTCCACCCCTCAATCAAGAGGAGAAAGTCCAAATTGTACCAACATTAGCCTTTGGTCTGCCTTATCTATCTAAATGGCTACAAAATTATCTCTTTTTATCTGTGTATGAGCATGTGCATGTGTGTGTGTGTGTGTATCAATCTGCATATATGCATGTATCTCAATTTGGATTTTGCCCTGCTTGGAGCAATGAAAAACAAGCAGGGAAAATGTGAAATAAAAATGCATGGCATCAAATATTTCTACATAAATCATTAATACTTATGTACAAAAGGCCATTTTACAATTTTAAAAAAACATAACTATAACAACTGGTTAATACATGCAGTTATACTACTTTTGCTGGTTTCCCCCTATGACTTTAACGGCATTTCAACATGCGGAAATTAAGTATGAGAAAATCTTCAGACCATGCCAAACCATGCCATACTTTCATGTTTCTGTTTTTGTCTTTAATGTTGATACAGTCAGTGGACGAATCAATAAACTTTGCTTGCTTGCCATACTTTCATGCCAAGAAAAAAAACCCCTATCTCCTTAATTAAGGACATGGGATGAGCACATCAATGTGGCAAACCAGCTGGTATACAGACATATTATAAAATAAAATGCCAATAATGTGACCAGAACAGTGATATCCACAGTAACGAGAAACTGAGGTTTATACTTAAATATGTTTATAACTTACATCTAGATATTTTAATGGTATGCACAGTATGCAATAGATTGAGTTGCAATATGTAATTTTAAATTTTATATTAGTTTTAAAAATTAGCATCCATATTGGAACCCAATAATATACCAGGACTACAGAAGCCCCTCCACTTTCATGAGGGTTAGAAGTCCACACAAATGTATAAAACATAAAATTTTAAAAGCCACTATTTCTTTCCTGAACAAACACCTCTCAAGGAAACTAAAGGCTCATCCTCCACTGAAATTGACTATAAATCCATGCTGGAAAAAATAGAGAAGTGTTCCCTATGGAACCTCTAGATTTTCCAGCATGGCTCTATGGGTCATATCCAGGGAAGGTTGCCCTGGAATAGCTAGAGATTCCTAGAGATAACATATTAATCAAACCTACTAAAAATGAAATCCACAAAAGTTAAATTGGCAAATGTGGAGAGCTGACTGTAGTTTAATTATATGAGGTGTCCTAACAGTTATAATATGAATCAAACTATATGTACGTAATTAAAGAGCTTCACATCAACATCCTGTGCAAACTACCCTTAGTACAGTTGCAAGTTGTATGGTACATATATCTAATAAATAGATTTAAAAAATCTAAAAACACTGCAATAGACTGTAGTCCTAAAAAGGAAACAAAAAAAATCTTATGATGTTCTTATTATCTCTTGGTTAAAAAAATTGCCATGGAGTTTATATAGAGTTCTAGAACCCCAAAGTTAGGAAGAAATGTTTTATATTTACCATAACTTTCCTGGAATTACATAAACACTTATTGTAAAAAAAAGAGTTCACAAGTGTTAAAGAAACTAGTACTGAAAATGTAAGTACAGGCAGTCCCCAGTTTATGAACATGATAAGTTCTGTAGGTTTGTTCTTACATTGAATTTGTTTGCAAGTTAGAACAGGTACATTTTTAACTCCAGCCATATAGATTTCATCTCACTTCATGTCCCTGTGATAACTGGATTTTGAAAAAAATGGCTTGTTGTGGAAACAAGGATTCATGATAAAGCTTCAGTGGAGACACTTTTTCACCATGATAACTCTTTCAGGAGTAAATTTCCCTTCTGGGAAGTAGATTTATCTCATTTTCCATTGTCTCAACCCCATTTGTAACTATGAGTTGTTTGTAAGACGGATGTTTGTAACTTGGGGACTGCCTGTATACTAACAGCAGGGGAAGTATGTAATAATGAATTATAATAAACACTGATCAGTAGTTCTGTTCTGAAAATGAAAGTGTTCTAATATTTGATACACATAAAACATGCATAAAAGGCAGATTTTTGTGTAAGATTATTTCCACTATGTACAAAACGCAAAATCAAAAGAGATATGTTTAAGGAAATAATTTGCCTTCACCGCATGCAATTCAAATCCATTTTTTACACAACTAAAACATAAGGAATGCTTACTTTCGTCTTGTTGGTTTTCTAATGCAACTTCTTCTCCTCCTTCCCCTTCACCTTCTTCTTCCTCTTTCTGTGGCATTTCTTCTTGATGGCTTGAGGCACTGACAGAAAGCGTGTGGCAGCAGTGGTTGAACCCACTATCCCGAGGCAGAGTATAGCTGCGAGGCTTTCCCCCATTCCCATTTAGGACTTGCAATTTCTCACCCTCCACCAAGGGAAAAGGCCCATAGTGATCCTGTAGGTGGCACTTTTGAGTAGGAAGAGTTGATTGCCGCCTGTGTTCGGGAGATATAATAGTTGGATCAGAGAAAACTGAGTCTTCAAGTGGTAGAGTCTGAAGGTAGTGCAGTCCTGAGCTTGTCAGTGGTGTTTCTATTAAATCCTGCCATGAGCGTCGCTGGCTGGCCGTTTTGCGGATGGGAGATTCTGTAGTGCTCCCGACTGGTTCGTGACGGAATTCCTCATGTGAAGACTGGGACTGGGAAGTTTCAGTGGATGAGAGTCGGCTATGTTTTGGCTCTACAAAAGGACTTGCACAGCTCATCTGCAACAACAATGCACATTCTGGCATTAATTGAATGACAATGATAGGCACATGACTCCTAGAGTGCTCTCACTCTTTTAATCAGTCACTATCCATATACAAATTTACTTCACTCACATATTCCACACCTTTCAATGTTTAGATACATTCTTACCCATGAACAGTTGCCCCTCCACTTTTATTGGGGCTACGGGTGTAGTAACCCAGTAACAGTGGAAAAATTGCAAATTAAAAGGACATTATTTTTAAACTGATAAAACACCTCACTAAGAATCTTTAGGTCCCCCAGAGCAACTCTATGGATACCTTCTTGCAGAGGTTGACCACTGAGTCACCCTGGAGAATAGAAATTCCATGAATAATCAAATCTGCACAAATTAAACCTGCAAACATGGAGGACTTACTGAAATATACATTTCTCTCTAAACATTTTTCTTAGCAATTTCTTATTTGCACATTTTATGTGATCAATGTTCCTTAAAATATGCACCTTTCTGTGCCATTTTTAAAAGACAGCAAATCTCCAAAACGTGCAGATTTTGGCACAGAAGCATGTCCACCAGGCTCCAATGAAGTGAAGTCATATATAGACTATATATCTGTATGGTTAAGTAATTTTTTTTACCAGAACCCAACAGTTTATTTCTGCTCACAGAAGCAATTCCATCAATGGAATTAGAAAGAGACAGTTTCACCTACTCCATAGCCCCTGTAAACCCTCAACACCTGTTCTGGAGAACTTGGAAACTTTTCAAAGCAATTTTGAGAAGGTACAGAGAGCTATGTGTATGGGGGGCAAAGAAGGGGAAGCAAAAAGCCCTGTTTAGGGGGCAGCAGCTCTGGCTATATTGATTTCCCCAATTCTGCTAACTCATGTAGATTTACACCATTCTGACTATATAGATCCCCACAGTTCTGCTAACTTAGGACCATATTATTTTGGGATATACTCCAGTTCTGAGACTCTTTGAATGTCACTCCAAAGGGGTCCTACTACATGATGTTTGTACCATTCCGATAGTAATCCTTTGGTATACATCTGAAACACGTTGCAGAAATGGAGTAATTGAACATGGGATTCTAATTGTGTTTTTAAAAACTTACTACAGTTCTGAGGCACTGTTTTATGTGTGATAATAATACCAGTATGCATTCTATCAGCTAAAATCTTGCAAGAACTGTAGTTTGAGACTTCCAGGCTATGCCACTGTTCAATATCATACATTTTCTTTGTTAAAGTGACATAGGGAGGCATTTGAATGGATTAGGAAGAGCCAGCCTTCTGTGGTGTGATGAGTCAAAGTGCAGTATTTTCCAAATGTAAGAATCAGATGTGATGGGGTCAGCATGCATCTTGTCTGAATTAAGTATGCAACCGGTCTTTAAAAAATACAGGATGCATACTGATATAAATTGAGTATATCCCTATGTGATATGGTCCTAAATTTGTTCCATCAGCACACTATTGCATTCTGATTAATTGACCACATGTGTTGGGTGTGTTTTACCAGAATATTCTATTGTTTAGCACACACCCCAAAATGAAAGGAAGCATAAATGATCAGGCAGTAGCCAGTCCACCTATTACAAATGGAAACAAAATCAAGCTAAAATGAATAAGGAACACCTAACAGACAACATTCTATAATATAAATTTATTCTACTTTTTTATGGAAAAGTAGTCACTTTTCCATAAAAAGACAACTCTTTTTATGTCAAACCCATCTGAAGCTATATACCTGTCATATTTGTTGTTTATGAACAGTTTAGTCTGTTTACTAACACATGGATTTTGATATAGGACTAAATTACAGAATGTATATGAATGCAACCTCAATTAATTACAGACACACACAAAGGAAACAAAATGTTGCTCCCACACAAAGTCCACTGCAATTTACAGAGGTTTTAGTGAAGCATCCATTTCAAAATTTATTTCTAACCAACTTGCAGATGACTAATTTTTTCCTGTGACATTAACAATATCAGTGCAGCTACTACCATAACACAACAACTTACTGAAGGCGGTCGTGGGTATGTATCATATGGCGGAGGAGGGCTGTCTTGTTTAGGTGTCGATGGAGTTTCTACTTCTTCCTTATCACTTTCACTCCAGTAATCTAGGGAACAGAAAGGTGTGTGTGTGTAAAAAATGAATTATATTATTTTGGATAACATGTTCATAGACCAAACATACAGACATTTTCAACTCTTTTTTTTTTAAAAAAAGTATTGTTATGTGACTTCATGCTGACTCCAACTTACTGTGATCCTATGTTAGGTTTTTCCCTGCTCTTCAGATATTGCCATTGGCTTTCTTTGGGACTGGGAGAGCTTGACTCGCCAGTGGGGATTCACACTGGCCTCTTTAAGTCATGGACCAACCCTCAAACCACTATACTACACGGCCTCTCTCATTCAGGAACTTATATTAGGGGGTCATAAATACTGAACATAGATATGTATGCTAAATACATATGGAGCTACTTTAGCATCCTATTATGGCTATTTAATGGGAAGATGATTGGGAGAGAACAGAGTATACATGTTCTGGATAAACATAATGGTCCCTCCCTGCCTTGCACCATACTAATATGCCTAAGAGCCTGTCTAAATATTTTGCTCCCATTTTGCAATAGGAAGGAAGTAATTTTTAAAATGTTAAAACAGAGAAGAAAGGGAGTGCCATTTCCACTCTTTCCCACACTACCAGAAGCAGTCAGAACAACTTAGTAAATGCCAGAGTGTTCTATCCACAAAGCACTTCAAAATAGACACTCCAATTTTACAACAGTATTATTGAGTTATATCACAGTTCTATCCTTCTCTTAACAGAAAAATTAATTTCTGTTAAGTTCAGGGTAAAATGCTTCCATGAAACTATATACCAGATTTCAGCTTTAAAGAATCAAGGAAAATATGGTATATTTAAATTCCACTGAAATCAACATAATTTTACAAATTACATTGGAGCTTAAGACTGCTTACACCTGGTACATCCTTAGATATCAATGTTTCCTGATCAAAACAGGGAAGAATATACCGAACTCAGAAAGAAAAGCTGCAATTTTCCTCCTCATTGCCAAGTACTATTTGAATTTAAATAGTAAACAGCCACGTGTTGAAGGGGAGGTGTTATGGGCCCTATGAACTTCTACAATGTACTGAACAAAATAATGTAGTTTTTATAGTGTAAAATGCAGGAAATTCATGACTTGGTTGCTTTCAAAACTAGTGCTTCTTACAAATGTTTTGAGCCATGAACATAATCATGTTAATGTCTGTCTCCTTGTGAAGTCAAGTACTCACTGGATATTTTAAAAATTATATCTACAGTATTGCACAAGAGCAAAAATGTTTGTATCTATCTAAATGTCATAAAGGAGTGCACAGAATGTACAGAAATGCTACTGTTAATTTAAAGTGAAACAACCTGAAAAACTGCCTGTACCTTGTTCTTGTTTGATCCTCTCTCTTTCTGCATGTCCAGCAGCAAGCATATTAATTCTGTTTAACCACCTGAAATAATAGATACATCACTGGAGCTACTTTAGCAAGTTAAAAATTTCATGTATGGTTTTTAATTCAAATATGCACAGATCCTGGACTTTCTTAAATGGAGCACTCTGAGATAGCCAAAACTTCACCGAATCTGTTGCTCACAGATGTGCCAGAATCACGATATACTCCCATTGTTCCAATTTCTCAATAATGAATTCTATCTTACAAAGGTTGAACCAACATATTTAAATCCCTATTTTTCATACCAGCAGAAGAAAGATGTGAACTTCTGAAGCACAGGGTGCTTTCAATTATGTGACTTTTAATATTGAACCTTATGTATCATGTATTACAAGACAGTATAAACCTTGTTTGCATTAGGGAGGCAGACAGAGAAAAATAATCCTTTATGATTAAAAGTTTTAATATCTACATGCAACATAAATTAAAGAACACTATTCTATTATTTTTTCTTATATTTTGTTTTTACAGTAGTGCTGTCACTATGAGAAATGAAGTAGTAGTACGGTAGGAGGGTTTCAAAACCCCTACTCTATAGAATTGTCATGAAATTAATTATCCAAAACACTAAATTGAGTTTTCATTCCTCTAGAGTTCTGCCAATACAACAACCTCTCCTTCTGGAGGTAATGGAGACATGTCAGAATTGAACTAATGCCTGTCAAGCTAATTATAATGCAGTTCAGTTGTTGTTTTTGTTCCCATGAGCTTATGCTGGTCCGAAACTGAACCTATCATGGGGTTTTCTTAGCAAGATTTGTTGGCTTTGCCTTCCTATAAGGATAGAAAAGAGCGACTTTCCTGAGGTCACTAGTTTACACCATACTGAAATTTAAGTGCTTGGAAGTTGTAATATCAACATTTTCATAGCTTGATAAGACAAATTACTTTGCTAACCATCTGCTTCTAAAGGGTATTGTTTGAACATTTTCCATTGTCATTGTACACCTAGAAGCTTTATACATAATATATGTTATAAAATTTTGGCAGCAGATGAAAGGTGGCCCTTAGTTACTGTAAGCAGAATTCTTACTCTTCACAATAGATGGTAACCATGCATCTAATAAAGCAACAGACAGTCTTGAGGACAAAAACTGTCTCCTCTACTGAATTGAAATATGTGATCCATAGACTACTCTGTCAAATGAAGGGGAAAGCAACATCTACAAGATTGTTGCTACTGACAGCACGATCCCACGCATGCTTTCTCAAAAGTTAAACTATGTCTATTAGGAGTTATTTTCCCTTATATCAGCATTAATCTTACACCTTTCATCTGAGTACAAGAAAACCAAAAATGCTGTTTATAGTGGTTGCACATGACAGGAGTGAAAGGAAATAGAATAAAAGAATAAATCAAGCATTTATTTACAATAGCTGAGAAGTGCCATTCATTTTAGTAGCCATTAGAATACTGAACAAAGCTGCTCTTACTTATTTTTAAATTACTTGAAAAGCTAAATACTTTAAACACAGAAATAAAATGTGAAATGTTTGGAGCATGCAAAAGAAAAAAAAAGTCTCCTTTGTTATTCCACTCTTGAAAAAAATGACTCGTTCACTCAACTTACTGAAGTAAAATATAATTTTGTTTTTATATTATGTTGATATGTTTATACATATATCTATTGAAATATTTCTAAATATTCCTATATAAAATGGTGTCAGGGTATAACAAAATAAAGACATTTTAAATTATGACAACATTTTAACATTTTAAACAATAAGAGATGTTACACAGTATCATGTATTTAACTAAATGCCATTACAAATCCAGCAAAAAAATACATATGTGTACATCTATTTAAAAAACAAATTAAAGAGTCCCTGCACAGCCTACTGCACTATCTTGTAAATAACTAGCACAAATACATTTAGCAGCCTTGGCAAATAAGGCTGTTTTTATGTGTAACAAATAGATCTGTGATTGGGAGTAGTCAGCAAAATTTCCCATTAAAACCCCTCACTCTGTAAGGAAGCCAGAATCTGACCCAATAATCTATTCCTGGAGTTTTGATAAAGCTGGCAATAAACACCATGAAATATCCTTTATTCCTCTCATGCCATAAATACAGAGCCTTACATTTCTTGGAATATTTTTTAAATCTGCCATTCAAAATATCCATGGTCAAAGCTTGGAAGCATAGTTCTGTAAATGCAGTTTTCAGAGGGGCAAAGTTAACCATTTCTCAGTATTGAGCTCTTACATTATTTCAATTCAGCAAATGATGTCAACAGAAAAAAAATTGAAGATTTAATTAAAACTAAATCCTGATTATTATCCACCTTATAGATTCAGTTCCTTAGCTTGTTTTCAACACTAGGAATGATTATAACATGCCTGTTGAGGGGTTTTTAGAACTAGCTTGAACTAGCTTAGCCCAACCTTTTTTCCTCCACTGTTCATCTAAACAAAACTTAGGGAGATGGTCCTCGGATACATATAAAGCCATCTTATAATATGGAAGGGCTGGCATCTTGGCCTTAGCTTTTACAGATACAATGAGAGCTTCTGTTCTGAGGAATGCAGCTGGAGTCCCAGAGTTACTGCCAACAGGTATCACACAAACATGTTCTGACGGACCTCAAGTCACAGACCTCAAGTCATTCAAAGTATTTTTATATATCACCCAAATTGCAAGCACTTTTCCTAAAGACATTTTAAACGCTGGAGTCACCAGCCCACCACATCTAACAGAAAAAAATCAGAACAGCAATGGCCATCTTCTGTGTTAATGTTTAGTAATTATGTCTTCCAAAAATTGATATTTTATTGAATGTCAAGACAATTCCTCGATTTAGTCTTGAAAACCATATGGCCCATTATTTTTGAGTTTCCATACCTGTTCAAGTCATCTAGATGTTCAGCAGCAAAATAAAAGCTTTTGATCTTAGGATGGCAGGCTTTGAATGCACTGTGTGAAAAAAATACCACAAAGAACTACAAGTCAAACTCTAAATATACATGATTTCTTTCAGCCTTAAAACAATATATTTACTATTAGAATCTGCTTTCAGCTGAATTTTAAAACAATATTATATGACTATTAGATGTACCTGTATTAGAATCATATGATGTATAATCAATACATCCTTCATACATCTACTTAGAGATGAACCTAAATAAACCAAATGGGTTGATTTAAGCAATCCCATATACTATTACTTTGGAGGCTTATTGGTAATCAGTAAGCTTTACTGTTACTTACCAAAATATGTGGGTTTAATACTGAAGTCTATGTAAATAGCAGCTATTTTTCGTCATGAATATAAACAATTCAAACAGTTGGAATCATTTTTCCAAGAATGAAGCAATTTATTTAGAAAGTAGTTGTATTTGTTGTATAGTTATATCATGCTTTTTAGAGATACTACTGCTTAATCAAATTTGACTTAATCGAAATATCCATGAATTTTTCATATCACTATGCCTCTTAACTTTTAAAACTCCATAGTTGCAGAGGGGGAAAGCACATGGACTTACATGGAATGGCAGCAATGAAACTTGTAATCATGAAATTAGTCATGCTAATAAGAAACTTCATAGCTGCTCTCTCCCTCAAACAGATGAAAAGTAACTACAGGCAGTCCCTGAATTAAAAACATCTGACTTACAAACAACTCACAGTTAAGAATAGGAGTGAGACATCTACCTCTAGGAAGGGAAATTCATTCCTGAAAGAATTATCATGGGGAAGATGTGTCTCCTCTGAAGCTTTAGCACCCATCCTTGTTTCCACAACAAGCCAAATTTTTCAAAATCCAACATACAAAACCTATCTTGTTCATAACTTGGGGACTGCCTGTACTGTGAAAAATCTAAGGTAGCGCTGAGCTCACTTAAAAGTTGGGCTCAAAACATAAATATGGCTTGATGCCAATTTTAAAACCTTTGTGTGCCATATTTTTTCTGAATTAAATTCAAAAATGGTTTACAAAAATTGAGCTTTACTGCACAATTGATGTTATTAATTGATAAGTAAATTGTATTTTCATGATACCATCATCTAAACACAAGTTACCCAAGTGTCAAAAACTGCAGTCCAGACCCTGAACTTAAAAAAAACTCATTTGCCTTATATATTAGACTTAAAAGACTTCAGTTGTTTTTTATGGTAGTATGTTTAGTGTAAAAATAATATTAATAATAATGGAAATTCTCAAAGGTAAATATTGCATGAGAGATAAAGGCTAGATTAGAAGAGAAATGTAATTGTTTTAAGCTTTTTAGTTCCTGCAGTACATTTCTAAATATTATTTTCAATGCTTACTATTTCTTGCGACATTCATTAGCTCTATCAATTTTAAATTCTGGGAGGCTGATAAATCCTTCTGCTTTTTCATCCTATAAATATAAACATATTAAACAATGAAAGCAAGAAGCACAATCAAACAAAATAAAGCAAGTTTACTTAATATCTTTTTTTACATCAAATAAAACAGTTTCTCAAGTCGCTGACACATTTTTTTAAAAAAAAAAATCAGATAACAACTCTGTGTTCATTCCCCCATCAAAACTTCAACAAAAACCGATGAAAACTTCTTGCTATAATTGCAAAAACAATACTTAAAATGTTTATTTTTAAAAGAAACTTGTTAGCCACATCTCCTTTGCACAGTCCAAGTATACTCACTCATGAGATACATTATTATGGTCCATATTATTAAAAGCAGAATCCAAACTGAGTTTGTTCATTTTTAAAAAAACAAACACCAAAGCCTGTGGAAAATTAGTAACAATAATAATTTTATTTCTTACCTGCCTCTCTTCATGGTTAGAGGCAGGTTACAGCATAGTTAAAACACATAAACTTTGTAAAGATTCTATAAATACACATATAAAGTGTATTTCTATAAAAGATACATATTAAAATTTATTTCTATAAAATACATAATAAAATATATAGAAAAGAGATTAAAACACAGGGTACAAGCTTAAAATTCATGATTGAAACCAGCTGGGTAGGTCTGTTGCAAGAGATAGGTCTTCAGATGGTTTTAAATTCTGACAGCTCATTTGGCTTTTGGAACTCTTCAGGCAGGTTGTTCCACAATCATGGGGCAGCTGATGAAAAGGTTCTCTGGGTGGTGGTTGCCAGTCGGGTTCTGGCAGGCTGGAGTAGACATCCCCCAGAGGACCTCGACATTTGAGGCAGATTGTATGGGAGATTGTACTGTAGGTAACCTGGATCCAAACCATGCAGGGCTTTAAAGGTCAAAACCAACACCTTGTACATTGCCCAGAAATTAATTGGCATCCAGTGGAGTGATTTTAGGATACGTATAATACGTTCACTCCTGGAAGTTCCTGTAGCCAATCTGACTGCTGTATTTTGAACCAACTGGAGTTTCTGAATCTGGTACAAATAAATGTAACCCAATGTAAAGTACATTGCAGAAGTCCAACCTTGTGGTTAGTAGTGCATGCACTACCATTTTTAGGTCCTCCAAATCTAGGAAGGTCGCAGCTGGAGTATCAGCCAAAGCTGGTAATAAGCACTCCAAGAATCAGGAGCACTCCCAAGCTGTGGAAATAGTCTTTCAGGTAGAGTGTAATTCCATCCAGAACTGGTTGACACACATCCACCCCCAGATTAGGACCCTTGATGGCAAGCACCTCTGTTTTGTCTACATTCAGTCTCAATTTGTTTTTCCTCGTCCATCCCACTACTTCCTCCAGCAATTCCTTCAGAGGAGACAAGCTATCCTTAGCTGAGGCTGTTTTTGAAGGTATGGAGACATATATTTTGATATTATCAGCATAATGATAACATTCCACCCCATGCCTGATGATCTCTCCCAGCGGTTTCATGTAAATATTTACATTGGAAATAGAATGGCACCTTGTGGGATGTCATATAAGAGCTCCTTTTTTGAGGAGCAGCTATCCCCAAGCATCACCATCGGGATCCTGCCTGAGAGATTAAGTGTCTGTGTCTAGTTCAAAACAATATTCCCACTGTTACTTTCATTCATGAAGACATGGGTTGTTCTGTCAATTATATCATGAGACACAAACTCTTGATCTAACATTGTTATCCCTTCTCCCTGTTCACCTTTTTTAGGGCCAAAGTGCACATTCCCTCCTGTATGTAGAGCCCATATATACTTTTACATTGGATGTATTTTTCTCCCTTTTTCAACCCTATACCTTCACAATCCAAAGTACATCCTTCAGCTACCCTGTGTTTTGAACAATTGCGTAATGCTCTTCTCTCCCCATCTCAGCTCAACTCAAAAAATAAGAAATTTCTGCAGACAACTCTCTTTGATTATTTTTGGTTTTTTCAAGTATAAACACAAAGAAAGAAAATAGAAATAAATATGAAAAAGTGTACCTGGGAAGATGTATTAAACATGTAGATGGATATAAACTGGCTCTATGTCCAAATATTTATTTCCTTTAAATTTGACACTAATAACTGCCTTTTCCTCTTACCTCTCTCTGTTTCCCCATGAGCTTCATTTTCTATCTTTCCATTGGATTCCTCATTCTTCACTACCGGATGCTTCTAATACATCTTCTGATGTATTGGCCTCTTACTTTTGGGATCTCTCTTTTTTTTCTTTATTTTCCACCTAGCCCTCTGTCAGTTTTAATTCCTGCCAAATCAACAATGCCCCAGTCTCTCACAATGGATGAGCCCACAAACTGCTTAAATCCTTGGCTAACAGCTCACCCAACATCAGAGACTAAAATAATTCAATATTCAAGACAGGCGCTGGGCATATAAGGCATTCACACAAACATGTATTAGAAGGAAATGAAAAATAGAATTGGATTATGGTATGTGAATTCTGAATTACAATCACAGTATCTGGTTACTATGACCCTGCCGAATGGTTTTGGCTAATGTGGTGCAATACAGTCAAGCTACTGTTTTCTCAAACAAGAGAAAGATATGCATCATTCAACTGCAGAATAACTTGGATGCACACATTTAATATATACATAGATGGAATTTATATATAACATCAGAGTTTAATTTGTTTGCACTCTATCAGCTTCATGCCAAATAGAAAGGAGATTCTATTTTTAGCAGTTGTTTCTTTCAATGCAAAAAGCAAAACAATCAAAATCCCCCCACACAACAATTTAAGCAAGCTGTAACAGTTATATATTATTCTGTTGCCTATGCATGTATCATAGACTTGAATTCTCTATAGAAAAGGCAACAAGAATGCCAGCGTCTTACCTCCTCATTGATATACCAGTACAATGAAGTCTCTTTCAGAACAAACCAGTATTTTTTCCATTTTTGTGAAAAATAACTCTTGGCATCTTTCTTTTTCCAAAGCCAGCCCTCACAGTCTCCACGACCAAGGTCTTTACAGGAAATACGTCTTTTGCTCTTACTTGGTGCAAGACCTGTAACAATAATTTTTCAAAAAGGAAGACTGTGTTTAGGATATACCATGCTTATAGAAGTTCTCTGAAAGTATTACTCAACAAGGATTATAAAGTTAGGAAGTTATTAGAATTGCCACCTTTTGAATAGATGCATTCATAATTCTTATATCTCTTTAATGTGCCAGCATTAAATTTGTAATATTGTAATATTTTACCTTTGTTCTTCTTCTTGGATTTGTGCTGTAGAGAAGACTGCTGAAATGTCTAGAAAAAAACCCACAAAAAACTTCTGGTTAATATGTGCAAAGCTCATCAAAGCAGGTAATTTACTACAAAGGTTAAAAAATAGATACCTAAGCAAGACACGCTTTAATGAATATCAAGGGGATTGTATTCACTGGCTACAGATGTTCACAGTTACTTGGACTGGTAATATTATTGTGTTTTGAAACACAAGATAATGTATCCCATTTAAATTTAAGTGGACCACACAAACCATACATGAAGCTCTTTGATCTGTATACCTAATAAAACTTGGAAGTACTGAAAGTGAATAAAAGAACCATTTAAAGATGCATCCCTCTGAGCCAACATAACAACATTCGATTTTTGAAATATGATGGTATTGATCATCTGGATATTATGCCTGCTCTGTATAGGAAAAACCTGTAGATAGAGGGACAAGGACACTGTTATAGAAAACTAGGCTCTTGACGATTTTTAATATTGGCCCTTTTTGTGCTGGACAATTGTACTTTGTTTGATTCTGCAATGGGTGCTTCAGCACGATGAGCTATAATCTTGAATGAATAGTATAATTTTGCACTTTCACCTTATCACATGTTTTGAGCATCTCAAGAACATGTGAGGTTTTTTTTGTAGGGAAAGGAAGGCTTTGCATCATATTGTGTGTGTCCATATTGCACAATATTGTGTATGTCCATATTAGAAAAGGAATGGGAAAATGTGACTTAAACTTTGTTTAGATATGAAAACTTATGAGAGGTTGTGTCTGGGGATCACTTTTTGTATAATCCCATCTTCCTTTTGCAGATGAAGCCACACATACTTCAAGAAAGGGATATATGAACAAACAAAGAGTCTTGAGGCATTTATGTCATTATAAAGACAACTGAAGAATTCAGAACCTTTCTCTTCCTGCCATTCTGTGGGAAAAGCTTTGCTTTAAGGAAAGTAGGCCAGATGCAAACTGATACCTAAACACTATCTCTTTTGGCATAGTTGATGCAGCCTTCATGACATACTAGCTTTGCAACTTGGTTTTCCCTAATCTCGTAAGTTTGGAACATTATTCTCACTTGATTTCTCTGAACAGATCAATGGCACTACCACATAATGTTATCTGTAGAGACTACAGACAATAAGCCCATTCAGAATAGCCAAATAGGCTGGGACATGTTTGTTTTTATTGCTATTCTGAATGCTGTACTTTCTAATTTTATTTTTATTATATAACCTAACTTGCTCTTCCTCCGGGATGTTCCCCAGAAATGCCCGTACATTATTGCATTTTTTGATTCCATAGATGAATGCAAACTCTCTCCTACCCTGGTGCATTTCAGTATACTTTCAATACTAAATCCACTTTTATATCTACTATTGAGGAGTACCTTGTGATATAGGCTGGGAAAATTATATTTGAAGGCTTTTGAAGCCTACTTCATGACCCACCCTGGCACTTCATTCCACACCTTGACCAGGGAAATGGAAACCTATCTTATTTCTTTAAAAAATATGGCATATGCATCACTGCACTATTGCTATAAGCAGTGGTGGGCAGATTACTTTTTTTCTTTGCTGAGATGTCATTTCTCACACAAATATTCACTGTGTGAAATGAGATACTGAAGATAACAAATATGGAGAAAGCAGGAGTCCATGTGGACTATTAGACAGATTAGAGAGATGGGCCAAAACTAACAAAATGAAGTTCAACAGTGACAAATGCAAGATACTCCACTTTGGCAGGAAAAACGAAATGCAAAGATACAGAATGGGGGATGCCTGGCTCGAGAGCAGTACGTGTGAAAAAGATCTTGGAGTCCTCGTGGACAACAAGTTAAACATGAGCCAACAATGTGATGTGGCGGCAAAAAAAAGCCAATGGGATTTTGGCCTGCATCAATAGGAGCATAGTGTTAGATCTAGGGAAGTAATGCTACCCCTCTATTCTGCTTTGGTTAGACCACACCTGGAATATTGTGTCCAATTCTGGGCACCACAATTGAAGAGAGATATTGACAAGCTGTGTGTCCAGAGGAGAGCGACTAAAATGATAAAAGGTCTGGAGAACAAGCCCTATGAGGAGCGGCTTAAGGAGCTGGGCATGTTTAGCCTGAAGAAGAGAAGGCTGAGAGGGGATATGATAGCCATGTACAAATATGTGAGAGGAAGCCACAGGGAGGAGGGAGCAAGCTTGTTTTCTGCTTCCCTGGAGACTAGGACGCGAACAATGGCTTCAAACTACAAGAAAGGAGATTCCATCTGAACATGAGGAAGAACTTCCTGACTGTGAGAGCCGTTCAACAGTGGAACTCTCTGCTCCGGAGTGTGGTGGAGGCTCCTTCTTTGGAGGCTTTTAAACAGAAGCTGAATGGCTATCTGTTGGGGGTGCTTTGAATATGATTTTCCTGCTTCTTGGCAGGGGGTTGGACTGGATGGCCCAGGAGGTCTCTTCCAACTCTTTGATTCTATGATTCTATGACTAGGACAATGGTGATCTTGCACCAAGGAAAACTGCAGTGACACCACCAGAGCAGTTTATAGCAGAAATGCAATACTGCAGAGGATCTACAGAGATTTTAAAAAAGAGTTTATAGCAATAATGTTGATGTTTTATAGGTTTTTAAAAGCAAAATTGTAAGGAAAAACCGGGGAGAAAAGAGACCTCATGAGGACTGTACATCTGGTGACAAAATGAGGACGGAATTGAATGAACCCTCCTGTATAGACACAATCCGCCTCACATGTAAGATGCCCAGAAATGACTCAACATGTGTCATCTTTTAAATGATTTTTTTAAAAAAAAGAAACCATTCACTCAAATAGCTTTTAAACAGGAAAGTGATAAGACATACCAAGAAGCAACGAAATGGTGGTATTATGTGGCACAAGCTACCGATCTAGACAAGCCCAATGTAGTAGTAGTTGGAAAAGATAACTGTCACAGAAGGACAAATTCTGACTAAGATTATGATAAATTTGTACTTTTTTTGTTTGAATGTATTTCCATAGCAACTGATCCTGTAGGTAAAGAGTCTGTAACAAGCAAAGAAATAACAAAGGGTTTCATTTAAATGAAAAGGCTGGGTGAGAACAAAGCAAAGGTATTTGGATAATATCCCTACTTTTACACTCGTCACTCTACTCCCCCTGCTTTCATCTTGTAATTTAATCCCAGTTTACCAAACCTATTAATCAAGTTCTATTGTGTTTTAATTTATTTTAGTTAACCATTAGAGGAGTTTTGGGATAGTGATTAGCATCTATTTGTCTGTGTATTTTTGTTTTGTTTTTGTTTTATTATTGGTATAGTTACTGGACTAATCAATAAACAGATCTATCTATCTATCCCTGCTGAGATTTTTAAAAATTGGAAACATGCTGAACACTATATGATACAATGTGGTAACAATAATGATGTTGCGTAATCTTAAGGAAGAGCTCTTGGTGTCTACTCTTCCAATGGATGGTTTCACTTCATGTACTGAGGAGCACTAATACTTCATCAACAAGTTAATGATGCATTTCTAGACCAATTATGAAACAGCATATAACAATTCCCCCTGTGCCTAAACAAGAGAAACAGACTTCAAAGTCAACATCATTTTTCTTAAGTCTGTGTAATATGCAGATAATTACTTTCTTCATCTTTTTTCTACTCCTCTGCCTGTTAGGCCTTGAATAAATGGTAACTGTGTGAGAGTCAAGGACTGTTTATCCTAACAGTTGGTATGGAAGAGAAAATACAAATGAACACAATTAAATGGCAATTTATGCCTAGTAAAGGTAGTCCCCTGACATTAAGTCCAGTCATGTCTGACTCTGGGGTGTGGTGCTCAACTCCATTTCTAAGCCGAAGAGCCAGCATTGTCCGTAGACACCTCCAAGGTCATGTGGCCGGCATGACTGCATGGAGCGCCGTTACCTTCCCGCCAGAGCGGTACCTATTGATCTACTCACATTTGCATATTTCGAACTGCTAGGTTGGCAGAAGCTAGGGCTGACAGCGGAAGCTCACGCCACTCCCCGGAATCGAACCTGCGACCTTTCGATCACCAAGCTCAGCAGCTCAGTGCTTTAACCCACTGCGCCACCGGGGGCTCCTTATGCCTAGTACTCTATTTGCTGATTATTATGAAACTCCAAAAAACAAATACAAAGGAAAAAAGGAATGTTCTGGTCACAACTGTCAAACATTAAAGTCAAACAAGTTTCTTGGAGCATAGTATTTCTCAGGCAAGATCGTATTTTATGATGTTTACATGTAAACCTGTATTTTCTGATAATCTAGTAATCAATAAAATGAATGGTATCTAAATAACCTCTCAACCTCTGAGGATGCCTGCTATAGATGCAGGTGAAATGTCAGGAGAGAATATTTCTAGAAGATGGCCATACAGCCCGAAAAACCTACAACAACCCAGTATCAAAATAGCTATCATTGGTTGAGAGGTGCAAGCTGGATTTATTTAATCAACTTTGATATGAATGGTTACTTGAAAGAACTCTGCTTCTTTAATTCTTTCCACTCAAATCATTAAGGTCTGCATATTAAATTCTGTTTTATGTAACTGAATTTCCAAAAGCATCTGTATAAAATAGAAAATCCCTAGTTGTTCCTCTTCCTCATCTTTGGCTTCCTTCTCCACTACCCTCTACTTTCTCCTCCATATTGCAAAAAGGAAATGCCTATTTCACTGAACTAAAATTTTACTAAAATAAAGTTTTCCAGTGATAGCCCTGGGAATACAATTTTTTTGTAGGAAACCATAAAGAAAGATTAAATTGAAAAAATGGAAAATCTTCAGACAGACGTATATTAATTGTGCAACAACATCAACACAGAATAAAGTATCTTGTCATTTTACTTACATGATACAAGGATGTTTCATGCCCAGGTGTGCTCATGCTATCTTGTCTTAAAGACTCCATTTGTAAACTAGGCAACAGAGAATAATGGCTAGGACTGTTGCCCTTATCTCCTTTCTTTTTGGATTTTTTGCCTGTGTCCTTCTTGCTGTTTCTTTGATACATGTAATCTTCCTGAGCAATTTTTTCATTGCTCATATATCGAAGTAATGAATTTTCTAGAAAAATAATGAGATATATTATTTTGCAAACTAGCACGATCAAGTGTTTTCCATGTAAATCGTGCTGAAACCAGTGGCACAGCACTCACTGGACAGTCTTCAAGGCTGCCTTTCACAACAAACACTGTCTGAAATGAAGTAAAAAAAAGAATACTAAGAACAACCTGAAATCCTATATTTTAATGGTCTAATCCAGTCAATAAGGGTCTATTAATTTGTTACGTGATTTTATCACAAACTACTCTGTATTACTCTTTTATCTGGACCTGATTCCAATAAGCTTCAGAAGAAGGAATGCTTATAAAACTTAGATTTTATTGTATGAACAAGATAAAATATAAATATGAAGGTTTCACTCTTTTCATCTGTAGCAATCCATAATAGACTAAAGATTAAAAAGAGATGATTCTGGCTTTTTAAATGTTGGTTCTTTTACATAGTCTAAGGCTTTGGTTTCCTCCTTTGTAAAATCATTTAATTATATGTGGATTTTGTTTCACAATGGCCTGAGCATGAGACACAAACAAAACAGAATGAATTGAACGAAATCAAGCTCAACTGAACTGAAGGCCCTTTCAGGTATGGCTAAATACCAAGATGAACTGGGATATTCCTTGATTTTAAAAGTGCAAGTGCTCACTGAATAGGCACATTCATTATGTGACAGAATGTGGGGAGAGAAGGCAAACCAGCTATCGCTTTCTTCTTGAAATATGGCTGCTAATATCCCAAAGTTGAATATTTATCTGTATTGTTTCCATGTTTATACGTTTCTAGGGACACTTGTTGACGAGGAATAGAACCAAAAATGACTTCATGTGGTAGGAGTTTTGCTTTCCTTGTAACAGCGTGTTATAGTCATTATATAGCAGGTTAATGGTTTGTTTTTGTATTCTCTTATCTCTAGGGACTGGCAGTGAAGATATTCCACTGAATCCATATTTAAATGAGCACAAGGGATCCCTTTAAAGGATTACAAGCATGTGTTTAAAAGGCTGCTACTTTATTAAGAGACTAATACCTCAATAACACCAAACAGGCATGTTGAAGCTTTGGGAATAGGTGGGCCACCCAAGGAATGGACCCAAATCCTGTTTATGCCAAGGATTATGTAATCTGTAGCCAACATACATTGTAGACAATTTCATCATTTCATCTTATAATATTTCTCTTACCCCAACAATACAGTAGTTTCCAAACTGGTTTTTTTTTAAATTTGTATAAAAATAGCCAAGTACCAATTCCTTTTTTTTTTTTTGGCTGCTGTACTTTGATATTGGATTGCAGCTGTATTATCCATGGTCATCAAAAACCGTGAAATATTGAGTATGCAATCTTCTACTGCCAGTTTATGATACTATCAACTCTCTCTCACTCTCTCTCTCTTTCTCTCTCTGTGTGTGTATAACAGCAAACTTAAATACTAACAAGACAATCAGCTTTTCACATTTATGGACAATGATATGGAATAATAATCTGTGCATCTAACAATTTACATAAATATATATTTAAAACACAATGAAATTGGTAATTTGCACCTTAGGTAACTTACCTCTCCGACTATCTCTTTTTGTTTTGTTAGGATCTTCATAATCCCCTACCCAGTTATATTCTACTGGCATAGATATAGGTCTTAGTTTTCCTGCAACAACACACTCACATTAGCTTCAAAATACTTATTAAATTAATGTGTCTACCCATTAGGTAAGTGATATTATATTTGACAATAGTTTTACCACAGGTGCCCTCATTGTGAATTGTTGTCATTCAAGACTTTTTGTGTGTAAAATATGCTTTGAAAAAGTTTGATCCTCAGTGTATCTTTGTTAACTATCAACAATACTGCAATTTCATTTATCCCCAGTTTCATTTCTCTGATGCCTACAAACTGATTGTATCATCGTGTGAGTAGATCTGGCAAGTGCAATTGAAAATATGCCAATTATATTAAATTATGAATGGAACCTATAGCATAAGCATAATGATTAAAGCCATCATAGTGTCTTAAAATTCTACTTTTAAAAAACTTTTTTTCAATACCATGATCACAGTTCACACCCACATATTCAGCCCAATGCACATATTATACCAGGTGAAATCTCTCATTACACTCATGTGGTCACCTTTATACAATCATAGCATGTAAACTAAATATACATCACAGGGCTGTTAGAATAAGAGTTAGGAAAATATACATTCTTAATGGCTGGCCAGAATGCGAAGATAACACACCAAACAGCCCTTTTCCTTTATAAAGCAACGCAGCTGAGAACTGCGTATCTGGAGGCGACTGGGGTCAATTGTAGGGGTGACGCAGATATCTGAAGTGGCTTGGGATTGTGTAATAACTATCTTAACCTTCATTTTAACCTTCGTTTTTAATTTTTGTGGTATGAAATTTTATCTTGACATTTTAATGATAATATTTTTAGTCATCTTTTAACCTAATGTGTGTTGGTTCGCTGTTGTGGGGGTCTTGGGATGGTGATTGTTGTCTGTTTGTGCACGTGTTTGTGCACGAGTTAGGAAAATACTGTATAATATTTATCTCCAAGTGGTAAACAAGGTAAAATTAAGAAAGATATAATGGGAAAACATATTTTTCATAAAGAAATGGATGCACTCCAATGGGTTTTTTTTTTTAGAATATTGTGCTTAGATTAATATCTTTTACATCTCTATATGGGTATAGGTCCCTTTCAATTCTTTGGGGTTTACTTTTGAACAGCTATGTCTACTATTGCAATGTTAATGTAAATGGAATGTAATTGTGCAAAAGAAGACTTGAGAGGTAGTGTGACAGTGTTTTGTAATGGTTTAGCTCTGGATTATGGCTCTGGAGACCAAGGTTCAAAGCACTGCTTGACTATGGAAACATGTTGAAGCAAGTTACACTTTCAGCCTCAGGGGAAAGTATTGGAAAAACACTTTTGAGCAAATCTTGCTAACAGAACACCATACTGATGACCACATCAGAAAGGCCAGGCAAAGCCTTCTAGTGAGAAAGAGGGAGCAGTGGGGTGAATCTGTTGCCCCGCATGCAGCTCACTTTCATGACACTTCCCCTCACAAGGGGAAAGCATTGCCCTCATGGGGAGGAGTTGTGTTGGCTCCACTGGAGCCAGCACAACAGGAAGCCTCCCATATTGGGGTGAAAATGTCCAGTAACGCTTTCACCCCAGTTGGGGGTGGGAACTATGCCGGAAGTCACACAACATTGTGTGATGTGCGATGCCAGCTTCCGTTCCCCAGACGGGATGAAAGCATCCTTGGACACTGATGTTCACTTTAAATAATTTCTCTAAAAATTGAAATGATTCTTCAGACTGATAATTCAAATAGATAAACGTACACAACAATAAGATTTCCTCAAAGTAAGTAATTATCTTTTCTAGTGTTGCACCTCTACAAATTACAATTTCATTCTTATGACATTCTGTAAGAGGATTAGAAAAATCAAAAGTAAGGGAAGGAGCGATGAAGATTTGCTTTCATGCTCCCAATTCATTATCCATGGGCAGAACTGAAGTAGGGAGAAACATATTTTCCAATACTGGGTACTGATTCTATTTAGAGCTAGCCCCATTATTACATTATGGGTCTAGCTCTAAAATCCATTTTTAAACAAGTGTAATCTGTGTGTCTATAAGAGAGAGAGAGCCTGGTAGACATTTTATTAAAATTGAATAAAATAAGAGATGTTAATCACTCCAATATTATCTAATTAGTAAATTTGCTCAAAAATAGAACAAACTGCTAAGGGAAATGTGAAAGAAATTCATAACACCACACCTTTTTACTTAAGTTGCCTATAACAGAAAACCAATGACTCTGCTTCTGTCCAAGTGAGACCTCAAAATGATGCTGAAATGTAAATTAATCAGATACATCAGTGCTCAAAGCAGTTTGGTTACAACATCCTTAGTATTAAAGGTATAATAAGAGTACTACAATGCACTCTTTCATGTCTGAAAAAGTTTGGTTTTCTGGAAATTATCTTTTCTTTTCTGTGTTTAGTGCTGCCTATCTTATTTTACTCTCTATTTATGTGATTACAAATTGCATAGGAAATCACTAAATAAGTCAAGGTTTGATACATGAAGGGCTGAAATATTTCAATCATTACCCTACTTCAAATTTATCAGGATCAACAGGAAAAAAAATGGAAATCTAAATGAAAACATATGCAAGTTAGTGTCACTCTATTATCTATCTAGTTCCATTTAATGTAATTTGCATATCAACTGTTTGCCAACTCAAAGCTTTTAAAGAGATAGTACTGCAGATCTGTACTGAGAACAGGAAGCAGAAAATGTGACAATGGATAGAGCCCTAGTCTGGTTCAGAAGAAGTCTTTGTTTAATCAGGATTGGATTTAATAATGTACACAATGCAGTTTAGCACAAGAGTAATGTTGGAAGAAAAGGGATAGATGAATTCTTAAGGGCACAAATAAAGGTTTAGAATATTGGACAAAAATATAGAATACAAAGCAAATCAAGAACTATATATATATTTAATTAGACTGTACCATAAGTTGGGGTGCTTTCTCTTCGTCCAGAGCTACTTGTTCTTCCTTTCTCATATTCATAACAGTACAAAACAGCATCTTCTTCCACTACATTAAAACGTTTTCGATATTCTTGATCAAGAAATGAATTTGGTGATTCGGAACCCTTATGTACTGGCTTTCCTACTAAAAGTCTTCCAACATCATCACAGGGAAGATTTCCCTTTTCATCCCTTTGGAAAAAAATGGTGTTGACATATTAATATTGTGCATTCTAGAGCTTTGCTGTGCAATTATTGTGCACATAAACCATGTATTTATGTCAAACTTAACATATATTAATTCTCAAGACAAATATAGAGTAATCTAATTAGTGTGCAACTGGATCAGATCATTCAGTTCCAATTTTAACTCTTAATTATTGTTTTTTGTTTGAAAACCGACAGCAGAAACTAGAAAATGGGAACCTTAAGTCTGAAAATGTCTAATTTATTTTTTTGTACATACATTGATCAAGATACTTGAAGATGTCCAACTATCTCACACAGGAGTAAGTGGCAAAATTTGGGCTACCCTCCTGCAACACTGGCCTCTTTTACACTACAAGCCGATCAGGCTCCTGAGCACTGTGGAAACAGTGCCTTTTCCTCTCTCACATCCCCTTTGCAGAGAGTGGGCTTTCTCTTTTAACTTTCTAATAGCAATCTAAATCAGCCATAGGCCTACCAGGTCCTAAGCACTGTGATGGCATGCCAGGAATGGAAAGAAAACTATACGTGCCCGGCTATTTTTCCAGTGACCATTGGTATGTCCTATATGTTCTTTAATTCCCCAAAATAAGACTCTGGAGACGAGACTAAATTTAACCAATTAAGTTTACTGAAACAATCAAGGTGAATCATAACAATGTATTACAAAGGCGCAGTTTGATTACTGAATGATATAGAATTAGAATAGTGAAGTGCAGATATAAGGTATAAACTCTGAGGTAAGTATAGATAACAGGAGACTATGAGGTATAATGATGGTATGTGCTCTGATGTAGAAACAAAACTATATTCTATGAGGTAAGTACTCTCTATGAAGGTACAGCTCTCACTTATGGGGCAAGTACATCTATGTTCTTTGAGGCATGTACTGCTCTGGTCTATGAGGCAAACACCGCTATTATCTAAGACATGTACATCTCACAATTTATTGAAAGCTCCCCTTTGCAATGAGGCATAGATGAAGGGAACACCATTTTGTTCACCTAGGACTGTGTCTTTTATTCAGACAGCCATGCAAACAAACTGGTTTGCTAAGAAAAGTGAGAGAACCCAACTATCTGGAGAGTGGTTGGCTCGCTAGTTCGAGGATTCCCAGCCAATCTGCACTTCATTCCTCCTGGGGATCATAGAAGGCATTTACAAATACAATTCAAATCAAGGAAGGGGGGGGGGCATTAAAAAGGAGACTCTCTGAAGTCCCCATAAAAGAACCCTTTTATGCTCCCCAAGGATCTTAACCTCAATATGTGGCTGCTTTATTCTCATCACTACATTTGGGACAGCAATTAGAGCATTAGGTTGGATTAATTTCTGTAGAAAGTTGGTCATTTTCTCACTTTGGGCATTCCTTTGGGGGATATTGGGGTGTGTGTGTAAGGATTTTGGGCAAGTTCAGTTTGGGGGCCTATCATCATTGCTTTATCTGAGGTTGCAGTGGAAATCAGTGTCTTCTGCCTGTGTGGGTCTCAATTACTACCATCTTTTCCCAAAGAATCCCATACCTTGTGTGACAGTGGAGCAGAACAGACAAGTCTGCATCTGTATGCTTGTCCATTGTGCCCTGCCTCATGTACAGAGGAGGAATTGTTGGAGGCTACAAACAATGTCGTTGCTATTGACTGTTTTTGGAGGAGGGAGCAAGCTTGTTTTCTGCTTCCCTGGAGACTAGGACGCGGAACAATGGCTTCAAACTACAAGAGAGGAGATTCCATCTGAACATGAGGAAGAACTTCCTGACTGTGAGAGCCGTTCAGCAGTGGAACTCTCTGCCCCAGAATGTGGTGGAGGCTCCTTCTTTGGAAGCTTTTAAACAGGGGCTGGATTGCCATCTGTCAGGGGTGATTTGAGTGCAATGTTCCTGCTTCTTGGCAGGGGGTTGGACTGGATGGCCCATGAGGTCTCTTCCAACTCTTTGATTCTATGATTCTATGAAAAGATATTTAGCTGCCTGCATACCTTCTATTTTTATCAGTTGTATACTAATTTATGCAATGCTTTTGATATGAAATAAATAAATAAATCTTTTCCCAGGAGGTGGGCTGGAGTTGATATTACCAGATGGCGGGTAGGTCATTTGAGACATAGATCCATCTCCTATGCCAGGCTAAGCTTGAACAGATAAACTCTAGCTATATCAATTCCAACCTGTCCCGTGTATACTACTGGGGGTACTTTCACACAAGTTCTCTTTATTGCTAACCTGCCAGCATAAATATACTAGTATTTTAAAAGAAAAAAATGGTTACAATAATTTGTATAAGATGTATAAGAATTTTAAACTGAATGGGAGGACTCTTCAGACATCAAAGCAAACATTTGGTTCATATTTAGTAAGAGAATATTATCTATGAAGAAGGCTATATGATGTCAAATAGGTATGGGATTTCTTTTTTCTCCCCTATGCTGGCAATATGATTCATACACAGATGAATGTGTCTTATGTACAGCTGGCTTTCATGTGGCCTGTGAACCATGAATGCACAATGAATTATTGAAAAACCCCTTTTTCTATTGTCACATTCACAACCTGGTATTTATTTGATCAATTCATCAATCCATGTCCTATATTTTCCCTACGTATGGAACTCAAGGAAGATTATAACCTTTTAAAATTTTTCCTAAAGAAGGAACAGTGAATTTTGCTATAGGATATACTGCAAAATAGCATAAAGCTCAGTTATGATGTTCACCTGGGTATGTAAGGCTCTGCTGGAGGAGGAGGTATGTAGAGATCCTGAAGGGCAGAACTGTCTCTCTTGGTAGGTGTGCTGATAGTGCTAGATGGCGTTGCCACGCTGCTTGTAGGACTTCTAGGTACAAGAGGCTGTTTAAAACAAAACAAAAAGCTTTAAATGTATACCTGATCATCAGCTAATGTCTTTTTTATTTCTCTGTCATTACAGAAAAGTAGATCAAAATGTCATGTACCTTGGAAAAGGCAACATTTTGAATTGTATTCAACTTCTTTTTGAGCTAAACCAACATTGGTAATGTCTAATTAGCAATCAGAAATGTTGAATATATCATTTAAAATATGATCTTGATTATATCTCTTTTCTACCTATTTTAAATCCTAGTTCTAATACAGCATCTGAATAAAAGTCCACTCTGCTTTAGCTTTAACTTCAAGCCCAGTTGTTCTGAAACTAATTAGAACTTGCAATGTGATTCAATATTACATGAAAATCGCTGTGTAATCATTACATAAAAAGGAGCACCGAGGGAGAAAAATCTTGATCCCTTTATTAGAATTAGCAATTAAAGCAAACAGCTTAGGAGAAGCTGAAGCTGAGAAACTGAAAGTTCACTGTCACCAGGGGAACAGACTGGTGACTTCACAATATACATCTAAATTGCTTCCCCATCTAACTGCTAATTTGCAGTTTCATGTATTTTAATTCCTAGCTTAACAGAAGTCACACAAATTAGACTCTTGAATGTTTTTATCAAGTGTACTTCCTGAGATCACATTTTAGTAATCACTAAATTTTAAATCTTATTTTCTGCCTCAGCTGGCTAAAGTGCTGTTGTGCTTGCATCGGAGGGAAATGCTAGTTATTCCCAGCTGTTGTAACACAACAACTCTCACTTCCAGGACAAGTAGTTCCTTTGTGCTTCTAGTTGGAATGCCAAGAGTAAGAAGCAGCTATCTATTTTATTCTTGCCATAGAAAACATCATTTGAGATTTTCCTAGCCAACATTACAGAAGCAACTGAATTTAAACTCAACTGAAGATCTCCACCTACAGTAGCCATAATAAACATATTGCAGTTGCTAAGCATTAAGCATCACAGTAGGGGGCAAATGATTCTCATCAGGCTTTCAGTAGACAAACCAGGCATTTAGGTCTCAGAGAAAGACAATAACCTGGTGTTCTCCAAATGTGTTAGATGACAACTATTTTCATTTCCAGACAGGGGATTTGTAATACAACACACCTGAAGGGTATGAGGTTGGGGAAGATTAGTTTGTGAGAGCTAAGAAAATGAAGAAATTGTGACAAGTTATTGGGGGGAGTTCGGTAAAAAATAATCAGGTTGCAGTCTTTAAATGTTAATCATGACATCATTATAATGCACATCAAAAAAAACTGGTTGTTTAGATTTAGAAAAATATTCAGACTACATTATCTGGTATGACATACTTTAGAATACAGTGTAATGTAATGGAGACAACATACAAAAGAAATGGAATAGATATACATCAACATGAATGTTAGAAAAGGACATAGATTTAAAATCTGAAGGAAAAAAATAGAACTCCCTTTTAGTTCTGGAAATCTGACCTAAGGAGAGAGAATATTTGGCATATTTTCTAAAATAGAATGCATTATTCTGTGTCCAAAACTATACATAAATGCAACAGCATAAGTTCCGTTCTGATGAATAGACAGAGAGACAAGTTTTAATCAGAAGAATCAAATCTCCCTTTCAGTCCTAATAATCTTGGCTGAAAGACACATAATTAGCAGATAAATAATCACCACAAAATGGTCCTTCTCATAAAGAATTCATTTTCAATATATGCAGAAATGCAGGATTAGCTGTCCTGTAGTAGTCTATGTTGAAAGCATCACTTCAATCGTGCTAAAACGTGAGTGGGCAGAAAAATGACAAATTATTTCATTTCTTACTACAAGCAACATATTTCATAAAAATCCTGGTTTTGGCCTCATTAGTAAGGCTTCTCTTTCATTATTCAAGTACAAATTGAAATCTGACATTCTCCATCCAGTATGATAACCTAATGATGGCTTCCATAGTCCATAAGGTAACTTGTGACGTGTTAGAAATCTTTGGTATTCTAAAAACATAAAACTGAGCAGTCACTTGAGCAACGTTTTAAGGAAGACTTCAGGATGTGGAAAATTAGGGGATTCTTCTTAACAGCTGTATAAGCTAAGACAGAAAAAGCATGGGAATTCAATTCAATTGCTGACATGATAGGAAAGCAGTACAAGCTGAGTATCCCATATCGAAAATGCTTGGAATCAGATGTGTTTTAGATTTCAGATTCCCCCCCCCCCCCAATTTGGTATATCTATAAAATAGCAGGAATCCAAGTGTAGTGATCGGCATGAATATATGAATTCCAGTGTTATGAGCTACACCAAAATATTTTGCTAATTTAGGGCCCTGAAGTCTGGTTATTAATAGTATGAAATGTCACTGTTAAAAGTAAATGCATACGTGAGTATGTATGGTTAACAGAGACAGTTCTAATAAAAGTAAGTTATGTTCCAGTTCTGTCTGTGCGTAAGTCCCAAGTTAACAGTAATTGTGAGATAACAGAAGTAGTCCAGAGTTTTTTGAGAAAGTGAGAATCCAAGGAGGTATAATCCACAAGTGGAATAAATGCTTAATTCATCTTGATGAAGAAGAGCTAGATCTTGAGTTAGTAGCAACTGATTTTTGTTCTCTTGTACATGCAGTAAAACATCAAGGAGAATAAGGGAGTTCAGTCATCTTAAATTATGTAAGCTCTATTATCTCAATTGATCAGATTGGAAACATGATATAAATAACAAAAGTCCACTAAAATAATTGGTTGAAGAGTACATAAGGAAACTTTTGCCACTATATAGAAGCCACCACAAGTAGACAAAAATCAAGTTGTGTCATAGCTTTATGAAACTACTGTTTATACAGTTACATAGGTTGAGTATCATACTCTACAGGGTTGGTTAACAGACCGAATCACTTCTCTTTGGATATATAGGCAGTCCCCAAGTTACAAACATGCTACTTACAAATGATTCATAGTTAAGAATGTGGGTGAGACAACAGGAAGTGAGAGAAACCTACCCCTTGGAAGGGAAAACGTTATCATAGGGAAATGGTGTCTCCACTGAAGCTTTATCAACAATCTTGGATTTCACAACATGCCAAATTTTCAAAATTCAATTATCACAAGGATAGAAAGTAGGGTAAAATCTTCTAAACAGGGGCACAAACAGCAAAAAACAAAACAAAAAAACAAACCCCAGGTCAGGGGTGTTAACCCTTCCCTATTCTATTCAAAGCTTACACACACGGCTGGAGTTACACTTAAAAATGTACCTGTTCCAACTTACAAATTCAATTTAAGTACAAACCTACAGAATCCAACTTGTTCATAACTTGGGGACTGCCTGGATACAGTTAAACATAATCACACTATTTTATATATTTATATCTTCATGTGATAAGAGAAATAGTTTTATCCCCAGTGTAAAAGATCTCTATGGGCACATCCACATTGACCACTTAGGTTGGTGCAGGAATGGATCTGCCCCACAGTGGCTATATGCCGCACAGGGCTAATTTGAGTTAACCTACAAGGATCTCTTGTACTGTACAGACATGAGATCTTTCCAACTCTCACAATATCAATACTTCTGAGATTTCCAGGCTATGTAACTGTGCAGTATTTACCAAGAACATTGGGTGAAAACGGTCAGAGAGTGACATCTGGGGACATTGAACAGATTGGGAGGAGCAAACCTTCCATGGTGTGACGAGTCAAAGTGGATTATGTAATTTCAAAATGTAAGAAAAGTGTGTGATATGTTTGTATGCAACCCATATGTACTGAGTATGCATCCAATCCTTATAAATAATAGGATGCATGCAGATTTACCATTTCTCAATGTTAATGTGATGAGGACTTTAAACAATTCTCCCTAAAGAGTAACTGAATACATGAATAACTGATCTACTCTGTTCATGAGACAGCAAGAAAGATTATGAAACAATCTGTTTACCCTCCTATCATAACATTTTCTGAAATTGTAAAACTTTCATGTATGTTAACCTGCCTATTACATTATAATACAGTTTACAAACTTAGGTGACCAAAACTTTAAACAAAGAAAACAGGAACATCAGTTAAATATAAGTTAACTGACAAAACAGCAGCAAACTTTCAATCCCTCAAACCAAGAGATGCTTCAATTGTATCTGCTTCAATGTAATATAAACCCATTTGTTTTTAATCTTTGTAGTCATTTTTGTAAAGCACAAAATATATAACAAATAATATGTAAAATTATATTTCATGTAGTGTAAAGGCAAATTCATACAATTAAAACATCGTTTTTAATTCTCAGACAGTTTTCAAATACTGTAATTTGAAATGTATGTTAGTTGCAAATTTATATAGTTACAAGTACAAACGTATATATTGTCTGCTCAGAAGTAAATTGCAGTGCATGCAATGAGACTAACTGCCCCATACACTGTGGACATGTGAACAAAGCAGCTACCAGATTTCACAATGGAAAAATACTTTTTCCTAAAATAATTCTAGGCTGAAATCATATACATGTTGACATGGAAATCAATTCATGCTAACTCATTCAGGGTCATTTCTCAGGAAACACAGAATATTACACTACAAAATACTTGCCATTAAAAAAATCATTTTATACAAACCTCCTATCTAATAATAATTACACAATGCTAACCAAAACAAAATTGTAATATTTACCACCACTGGGTATTTAAATCAAAAGGTAAACATTGGGAACTATTCAGGGCTGGCCAAAAACTGGAAAATAATGGTGATATGGTCTGAACTCTAGTTGGTTTTCTATATCTGCTCTCATATCATTAACCATTGTATACTTCTAGGAATCAAGCCAATGTGGGATTTTGGAATATCATTTTATGATACTTCCTCTAGTTCCATTTGCCCCCTAGAAGATACTACTGATGGACTCTTGTTTGCCTTATTAGCTGTGGCAAGTTCTGCAGGGATCTATGGAGTGTCCTGTAAAGAGAGAACATCCACTGGGAGAGACAATTTGGAATACATCATACATTTATTCATGTATGAGGAAATTT